GATAGCAGGAGATGGATTGATCATTTCGACATCTTCTGAATCGGCTAGGATAGTGTTTCGAGGGGGACGTGCATCGATAGGAATAGGTTCAGGGGGTATTGGTTCGTTAGATGTCCTTGTACTCCGAGAGTGAATACTTGGTATGTCGGCTGTGAGCTGTGTTTTCGGATTCATGCGTGTACCATACGGATTCAGTGGACACTGCCCTGGTGGGGCCGTTTGGCATACCTCTTGCTCTTTGAGAGGAGCTGTTTGCTGGGGCTTTAGTTACAGCCTGGCGTTCTCGTACGCGTGTTTTGATTTCAGTTTTGATCTTTTACCACGGCATATGTTTGAGCTGGTGATCCATACTCGGTTTCACCATCCTCACCAACGTAGTCATCAAAATATGACTCGTCTACTTGTATCTCGTATACATCGGCGTAGTCTTCTTCAAGCTCTCCCTCCTCATCTGGGTAGGCTCGCATCAAGTTGGACTGTATTGTAGTCCTCTGGATAGCTTCTTTGAATGTCTCGGTGCCTCGTCGCCGTATCATATTGCCGTCACGGTAAGTCAACCTTCCGAATTCATCTTTTTTGATTTTTCCGGTAGAGACCCATTCATTTATAAAAGGGCACTGCCGCATCATGTGATCGTGTTCTCCACACCCAAAACAGAATATTTCGGCTATTTCTCGGCCCATATTCAGTGGTACTCTGTTTCGAACTTGAGTGTAAGGAATAGCATTGACTTTCATAGGAGCAGCCACAATGTCGGCAACTGCTGCATCTTTCTTTATGGCCCTATAATAAATTCGAGCGTAGTCAGTATCACTTACCTTCATCTTGGAAAGCTGATCCACTAGCTTCTCTACTTCATCATCTTCATTTTCAGGACTTGGGTTGGATTTTAGGCCTGAAGGTGATGTCTTCTTTTTGCCTTTATCCTTCTTAGAGGTATGTTCCTCTGTCTTCCTCTTGGCTATGTCTGATGCAGAAGAGTCAGAGTCATTTGAAGAGGTGATTTCACTTGAATTATCACTCTCAGATGAATCCAATTTTGTCCGCCTCTTTTTCCTCCTCTTCTTCTTCTGTTTCTTGTGTCCTCTTCGCACGTCTTGAGAGGAATCGCTACTAGTATCAGTAGCCACATCAGTGTCTGATTCACCATCTATTGTTGATGAATCTGAGCCAGAGCTCTCCTGGTAGATTTTTATGTTTCTTCTTCCGATGCTTTGATTTCCGAATGGCCAGGTCGGCATCAAATCGATCTCGGGTAAAAATCCCATATATGATTTTTGAAATCTCGTTCCTTGGTATCACTTTTCGGGGGTCATACCCTGGATGTGCAGCTAGATACCGGGCTTCCACACTTTCTCGAAGCTTCCTGTTTAGCCCATACCAGAATTTTGTATGCTGCTCATCCTGAGTTATTTTTCCCTTGTGTCGCAGCCAGTTGGCTATTGTCAGGAATTCAACTTCATATTTCTTGAACCGTTTAAGGTTGTATACTCCTTGCTTTCGCCAGTCATCTGTCAATTGATCCAAGTCACTGACTAGATAACGCGACTCGTTTAATTCGGCATCATAGTAGGTGAGAATGTCGGATTCTAGTTGTGCCCATTTTTCATCAACAAAACTATCCAGCGCTTCGATAAATCTTGTGACTCGAGTAGAGCAATAATCAACTATTCGTCGACATTTTTCCTTGTCCGGTACATTGTATACCGCACACATTTGTTTGTATTGCCGAATGAATTTCTTGACTGAATCATATTTTCCTGTGAATTTTCCAGGTGCTGACTTGGCTCCCAGCAAGGGCATCATATCAGGTGTACGATTCAGATTACTAGCAGTAGCAGTAGCTGTGCTAGTCGAGGTTGGTTGGACAGTGTTTGCTCCTGTAGCTGGAGTATGTCCAAACATGGATGCTCCTTTCTGTCCCAAGGATGGATGCATGCCTGCATACATTCCTGCTGACGCCTGATGTCCTTGGTAATGAATTAAAGGAACTTGAAGGTTCTGTATCAGAGGTAACATTCCCCCAATGATAGTCTTGTCTGCGCCATCCTTGTGGCATTTCTACTCCCTCCCCCTCATCAGGTGGAGAGGTAGCGTTTGCAGATGTGTGCGATGATCCAGCACCTAAACTGGGGTGATGACCATCTATTGGACTAGTTGTCATTTTAATGATGTATATGTGTGTTTTGTACTAGTGTGATTTGGTTTAGACCCCCTCAGCGGTGGGCTCCAGAAATGTCAGCGGGATTCGGGACTGGGCAAATTCCCTTTCAGTACAGCTCAGATGTCTGTACTGCTGTTTGTAGTTCGAAGGGGTCAAGCACGAATGCTATGGTCAAATCAAATCTAGTTGCTAGGATGGTAGATTGAGATGTAGTGGTAGAAAATGGAGGGTATGGGTAGTAGGTAGTGTGTGTGGGTGTTATGTGAAAGGGGATAATTGTGTTCAGAATTGGTAATGTTGCCAATAGTCAGCAATGAGGATGTGGGTTTGGAGTCAAGGATAGCTATTTGTAGTGTACGTGAATGCAGAATAGGTAACAATGCTGGTAATTGAGAGGTGGTTGAGAATAGCTATTTTCTGTGTGAATGGCTGGGAATGGGGATATTGCTGATATCTGAGAATAGTAATTTCGTGGATGGGAGTAGTACTGATATTTGATCTGTGGTCAAGAATAGCTGTTTTGAGTGTGTGTGTATTCTGGGAAGGGTAATAGTGCTGGTGATTGAGAATAACAGATGGGTGTGTAGTGTGTGTGTGGAAACAAGGCTGGTAATAGTGCTGGTAGTCGAGAATGGTAATGGTGCTGGTGTTCTGAGAATGGTAATATCAAGATTGGAATAGTGTGGCTGTTTGGGAGATGGCTAAGAATAACTGTTTCAAGTGCATGTGGATCCGAGAATGGTAAATTGTAATAGAGCTGGTGTTTGAGAATGGTAATATCAAGAATGGAATGGTGTGGGTGTTTGGTAATGGTCAAGAATAGCTGTTTGGAGTGCTTGTGGATCCGAGAATGATAATAGTGTTGGAATTCGAGAGTGGTAATATCGAGAATGAGAATAAGGCTTGAGAGAGAAAGGTTAAGTTCTTGTCATCTTTGTAGGGCTTGAAATATTCAGGTCTTGAAATTTGGTGTGGTGTGTAATCTGTGGTGTAATCGTCGTTATTTTTCCTACTTCTACTTCACATATTTATACTATTCTACTGTTTGTCCTATGATTTGTACAATCCAGTGTTCGGCTGTGTCAATCCAGTGCTGTTTACACTGGTTTCATCCTGCGCATGCTGGTTTCATCCCATGCAGACAGGTTTCCTCCTGCACAAACAAGTTTCATCCTGTGTTTTTACACTGCCTTCAGTCCAAGAATATGCTGGCCTAATCCTATGCACTATTTCTCCCCTATTTCCCTACTATGTCTGGTTCCAGCCTGACACCAATCAAGTGAGAAGTAGGCGACCCCAAGGCTAGCACCAGGGTGCAGACAGATAAGAGTAAACGGAATTCATCTGTAGTCTCATCCTTGAAGACGTTATAAACCCGTTAGGGCACGATGGTAAAATATGCTCAAGGTATTGTATCCAATGCCTGTCTTTTTTCATAAAAATAAAGCCTAGGTTCAGAGGGGCGTTCTAGGTTCGATTTCCTTCCCTACCTTTTCCCTCGCTCACCCGTATAAGGGGAACATTCCAGCCTTCACCACGTCGATTGGACAGATTGTGATCACATCGAAATTTAGTGTCGATCACACCCGATCAAGAACTCTTCGTCCCCACACTATCTACCAGTAGCAATGCCATCTCATTAACACCTGATTCTGGCTTTTGGCACGTTTTGAGTTCCAATAAGTTAGGTGAATGTGAAGACGCTGCTAATCCCTTTCAGCACGATAAGAGTCGAAACATAAATTAATCAAGATGAGGATAGCAACAATGACAAATGAAAGAGCCACGCTCGTTTTTTCTCGGTGATAGCAGTCATTTCCGAGTATATAGCCCGTCTAGCAGCGCATCGATCCTCATCAGGTCCTTCTCCGTGATATCCTTATATGTCATGTCCCCCAGTTTGAAGACCACGAACGCCCAGGTTGTGAATCTGAGTACCAGACATGGTACACATTCCCGAGTGTGTGGAAGTTGTCAATTGATATCGTGCACTATCGGGCCTGGGGTATGGATAGCTCGTGTGGTGGTAGCCACAGCGAAATGGCAGGTTTATGACAAGAGCCTGACCGGGGCAGACGTCGTCAGGGTGAGGATAAGCGCAGCAAGCCCAGGGACTCACGATTTGGGAGGAATTCGTAGGCGTAGATGTCGACCGTCTTGTTCAAGGGAGTGGTCATGGTGCTTCTAATGGCAAGAGAGGATGCTGCGAAGGTCGCTCAGGCGAGGTCTTATAGGGAACATCGCTGCGAGGTGGCAAGACAACGTGCTTCGACTCGGATTGTATCAATGTGACAAAAGAGATAAAGGGCAATCGCCGGTCCAAAATAGTCTCACACCCACTTACAAAGGGCTATTCATTAATGTCGTTTACCATTGGTAGAAAATGCGACAAGGAGAGCAACGAACAAGAGACAATGCGACAGCAGCCACATGAAAATCAACCTGCCTGATCGGGGGTTTCTCTCTTCCCCCCCCGTGCCCAACAAAATGGAAGTCTGATCAACCATCAATTAGTTCTATTAAAGCTATCAATCTATCTGAATCACTTTCGCGACGTGAGCAAATTTTGGCATAACAGTTCATATGGGATGCTTTAGTTCTCTCTTGTTTCCCTGCAGGCAAACGTGCAGCTCGGCTTCCTCAGAAGGAAACCTAGAGGCCAGAGGTTCGATAACGCCCGCAATTCAAAAGAGTTAATATTAAGACCCAGGTCCCGAAGTCTCTAAGTCTCAAGTCTCATAATTTCTGTTCAACTTCTGAATCTCCTGAATCTTGAAAACAATATTTCACGCGACGACTCTCGATAAAAAAAAAAGTGCCCTGGTACACTGGTACCCTGCCCCAGAGAGGCTCGAACTCTCGACCTTCCGATTATCGATAAATTGATGCGTAACAGTCGGACGCTGTAACCAACTCAGCCATGGGGCATATAGACTATGGGTTCAGGTCCCGGTCCCGGTCTCTTCAAAGAAGTTGTATGACCGTGGAATAGAATGTTGGATAATGTATATGAGCCCTGTCCCATGTAAATAGTGCTACAGAATAGGCGTACATATGTGTCCGTGAAACAAATACTCATCAACCAGTATATATTTTACGATCTGCCAAGTTCAATCGCGCTATCATTCTTCTCTGCATCTACAGCACTGCGATTTCTTCCCATGGTCCGCCCAATCAAAACTCCCGGATGCGCAAAGTTTAGTGTGTAAATAGCCAAGACGACCATGGCTCCATCGAGAACGTCTGAGAGTCGTGAGAATCAGTCAAGAAGCGATGCGTTAATCCAAACGGCACAACGTACTGAAATAAATCTCTGTGAGAATGATCCTTCCGCTCCATCCGTCGGCGAGTTCTATCGTCCGGTAGATGGCACTGCGACATGTCAGACATAAGGATTTAAGACGGCCCAATGAAACATACCGAATGAATAGACACAAGGTGTTGAATGCCAGCGCAAAGATCATGATTTTTATTTCGTATCCAGGATACCACGCGGGGTATTGGGTGACGAGAGGGTCACCAAGGAGTCGCTCCGTTTCTTGCGCGCGAATAGTCGGGCAACGGGACGGTCATGCGTGTAGCGGACGAGGAATTCGCAAGCAAGGATGGCGTAGAACGTGATGACCACTACCGAGACGATGAATTGGGATATGATCGAAGAGATGGGGGGGCCTACCAAGCTGGAAAACAATACCGGCAAGCATGACATTGCTGCCCTAGAGAATACCGTCAGATCAGCACGTTGAAAGACAAAAATATCCTCACTAGCTTGGCACCTTGAAGATCATTTCGGTCGGAAGCGGATGACGCGATGCCCCCACCGCCACCTTGTATCACCAGCGAGAGGATGTCCTGGCATCAGTAGCGTAAGCACGACGACAGTTTGGCTATTTAAACGTACTCACGCAGCTGACGAATATTATAGAATCTAAGCAGGGATATTAGAGCAAGGTGTAGTGGCTACGCGAGAGAAGTACTCACATGCTTTTGGGCTCAATCTACTATACACAGGTCCCAGGATACGGATTATGGCCCCAAGGATGATAAAATTAGCAGCGACGAGTGGCGTAGGTCCGATAATTGTAGCAGTTATTCTATTCCAACGATTAGATCAGAGGGTAAAATGCGAGCGGAATGTACAGACTCACTGAATCATAAAAGGATTACTCAGAGACGGAGAGATACTCGACCAAAACCTCCCGCTCCATCCTAAGATCTCGAGGCATCCGGCGAGGATGATAGTCGGGAACGCCCACCACATACGGAAATAGATGGTCTGAGCCGTGTGGGTCACTGATCAGACAGTGTTTATCATCCACGGATACCGAATTCTGAGGAGTTCCAGTGCTTACAGGTGGATATTCCGAATAGGATAATGAATGTGAGGGCAATGCCTTTCGACGGAGTGTATCCATAGGGAGAGTCTTGCCGGTCTACGTCAGCAGCAAGAGTTTGCACTGTACGACAAATAGGATTAGTCACAAGTCTGGATGCTTTGTTAAAACGCGCACCGTGCTCTAATAGGGACATGGTCGTAGAACTTTCGACGATGAGAAGTGAATGATGATGGAAAAAATTAAGGTGTGCTTTATGTATGACTCAGAAATTGCGATAGACATCTTCGGAACGTCGGTTAGCCCATTTAGGAGGTCCGAATTCCCGTATAGCCTTGGACGACCTTGGCAGATGTTTCAATAATATGTGGAGTAAACAGACCGTATCCCAACCGAAATTTTACAATACCGATGAAATTCTGCCCTATTCTGGCAAGTGTTTCACAGCTTCAGCATGCCGGAGCGACACCTCATTACCATCTAATCTGTAGATAAACAACGAACGTTGATTAGTATCAACCAGGGCGACTGCGCAACGACACCGCCAAGCTGCCCACTAACGACAGAGCAAAGGACCGCAGCATAGCATAGCGATGCAGCAAGGATATTGATTCACGGACTGTGAGGTACCTGAACGTCGTACTGGTCAACGCTAAAGCCTGTTTAAACGATCCTCGAAAGTCGGTGCCTGACTGCGCCCTGCCCTTAGTCTCGGGTTTACATTCGTACCGGGCTTGTAACGAGCACTGGCGACCCCAATGAAGTGGAAGTGGCGTGCGAGTGACGGAGGGCAGCGTTATTGCGAACGGTGGCAACGCATTTCTTTAAGTACCTTTTTCATCATACTACTACGCCTTGGAAAATAGAGTAACTGACATATTGGAACGGTACGTTTGATGGAGACAGAAGAAAACGTTCCCGTCGGTCCGACGGCGACCGACGGTTGCTGATAAAGACCATTTCCTCTTTTGATCACTGCCCTGCCGCAGCCACGTCACTTTCAATGCCGCCTTGTTGCGAGTGAACAGCTCGGTCGCGGTGACTCGTTGGAAACCGTTGATATTCTCCCGAAATATATTGCTAGACATATCAATTGTGGGTCAATGAACACTCAACAGTAACCTACTCGGAGCGGCTTTGGAACAAAAACGAACTTGGGGGTTGTTTTCCCCGGACATTCAACCTCATGCTTGCGTCATGTACAAAATTGGTCTGCTAATGTCCAGGCGGTCAGGAAAACTTGCAGTGCAATTCTCGCAGCTACTGCCGATGATGATAACAATCTCCGTTTTCTGAAACCCAGACGTTTCCTACTGATACCAGGCCGACTGACCCTAAGAGCAGCCACGGCCACGGACCCTATCAGCCATTCATTCCATCCTTATCTCCTATTTGAGAAAGGACCAAGGTCTCGTTCGCAGAATCACAATTTGAGGACCCTCAGCTTG